TGCAAATTGCTTCCGTTCACTTGGATATTCAAAGGAGACACTTGCTAATGGCCATGCATCATTAGGGTTATGCACATAAGGATGACTGCCGAGTGGGCGCTTAATGCGGCCCTTGGATGGAGAGATTCCCCTGGACTTGGGATTGTCGAGGCGCTCATGCTTCAATCTGATTGATTCGCATGACCTCCCGTGCTTATGTTCATCACTGGTACTTCTTAGAGATAGACACTGAATGGCTATCATGATAGGGATGATTTTCCCGTTCTCAGGCTGGATTACCCCTGAAAGCCTGAAAGTGCTGGGGCTCCACAATTTGCCTTGGCTTGGCCTGCCGATCGCCCAGTCTAGTCTGCTAGAGTCGCCCTGGATGAGCCGTGCGAGCGTGTCTTGGAGTTGAGATGTTACACTCTGTATGCTAACTTGAGATTAACAGTAGATCAGAATGATCAGCCTCTACTCTGTAGATAGATAGCAATCAAGAATTCAGTTAAAGACCATGGCAGTGGTGGAATTGCTGCGTCCAGACTTCTGGACACCTGACACCTCAGAGAAAGGAATCGAAAGAGAAGTTCTTTTAGGCGAATGCAGACATCTCCCATTGATACAAAGGAAGTATCATCATTCGCTGTGCAATATAGTACGTCGCGTAGCAGTCTTCAAACAGCCGCGAATCGAGATGCTGATATCAAACAGTCCTTAAGAAAAGCTCCACCTCAGTCTGTGCAGCGCCAAAAAAACCACAAGAATCAGCCAACCAGATTGCTCCAAAACAGTTCTGATAGAGAATTTGGTTTTTTAGTTTTCTTAGTCTGGCTGCATACCATCTTAATACTAGGTACCTAGAATCCTCGAACTAGTTACGGCTGTCTAGTGTCTAGACTACCTATTATTCTTCTCCTTAATTCTCCCGCTGCATATCCCCTTGTCCCTCTCTTTTCTTTGAACCCCCTTGGTTCTTCACAGCCTTTTTCAGTCTCCTAACCACCCTATCTTCCTTTTCCCCCTGGCACTGACCCCAATTGTTACTATATCCGGTCAATTCTCCTTCATCCAGATATCCACTAGTGGCCGCGTGTCATCCTCAAACCGCCCCGTGCTCCCTCAATCCCTCCTGAGAATTGCCCGTCATCAACATGAGGGTGCGTCGATCGAGAGAGCTACTAGCCATCTAGTCTAATCTTCATCTTCATTGACCGTCGTTTCCAAACCCCCCTTCCCTCGTCCCGTTCCTGCCCTGATCGTCTTTCCCTCTTTCTTCTTCCCTCCCCAAGATGCCCGTGGGCTGGCCTTCTCCGCCTGCAGCTGGCACCTTGACCACTTTAGTATCCTCTTCCCCCGACGCCTATCATTCACACTCCCAAGACAGTCGGAGCGCCAGTAGCTCCAGTTGGCCAAGTCCTCCTCCCTCTGCTTCTTCTTTTCCTACTCCTCCTTCATCTTCTCATCACCATCATCACCCTTCTATACCCACCGGTACTGCTTCTCCGGTGCGCAGAAAGCCCCTCCCCCAGCAGCATGCTTCTTCCCCTGTGAACTCTTCCCGCCAATCTAGGCCTTCTTTGACGTCCCCTGTCACGCCAATTGATACCACAGCCACTACTCCTATTACGGCAAATACAGCTGCGGCTACTACTTCTTCTCCTGCGGCCAAGACATCTACAGAGCCTCCACTGGAGGCCACCAAAGCCCTAGCCTCTCCTCCCGTCATCAGAAGCAACCTTCCTGCTTCGCACTCTTACACTCTCTCTTCCGGATCATCAGTGTATGAAGAAGACACCCTTTTTGTACCTAAGGACCTAGACAGGTATGACAGTGTTGGGCTCACGCTCGCCCTCCCGTGCTTCCTCCGGGCTCCCCCCTCGCATCCCCCTTAAATAGTCACCTGTCTGCACTTTCTTACATTTCTTCCGTTCCTCTCTATCCGAGATCCAAACTCAATGTCAGATGCCCCCCTTCGGACGCTATAGGACTAACATCGTGCTTCAATTGCTCTTCCCCAGGTCTTCTCGAGGCGGCACCACCGCTCCCCCTCTTCGGATAGATACCTCCGCCGCCTATTGGCACGGCGAGGACGACGAGGAGTCCATCTACACCGCTCAATTCTCGAATGGGACCCCATTGCACAATCGTCTTGTCAGCGAACCATTCATCCCTGTGCTCAACTCTCCGCCGGGCCACAAGCGTGCCCAAACTATGGCATTGCGTCTATCATCCAGCCGCCCACCGCCGTTGCACATCGAGTCCAGCGGTCGAACCGCATCGGCCAGCTCCTTGGACTCGAAACAGCCCAAGACCCCTGGGAACAAAATCAGCTCCTTCTTCGGCTGGAAAGCCGTCACCACATCGCCCAGCGCGGAGTCCTCGAGCACCGAGATCTCGGATTCGGGCCGGTCCCCTCTCCCATCTCCGATGCCTTCTTCAATGCCCACCGCGTCCTTCTCCATCACCCCTTCGACCACAGTACCATTCGATCCCACCCGGGTACCGGCCCGCAACCCCTCCCTAAGCGGCGCCAGTATCCTCGAGGCCGCGTCAGCCTCGAAGCTCGCGGATCTCGAAAATGAACTCCGCGAGATCAGTTCCGAGCTGGCCGGTTCCATCCGGCGGGAGATGGAACTGGAAGATCTGGTCGAGAGGTTACAATCCGAGATGCCGCAGGACGCCAACCGGCGCACCAGCGACTATTTCTCCGACTCCGGAACTAGCTCTATACGATATATATACGACGCCAACGGAAAAATTGATGACTTGGACAAGTATCGGCGAGCAGCCGAGCAGGAACGCGCACAGCTCAAGGTTGAGCTGTCGCAGAAGTGGCAGGAAGAAAGAGCCCGTCGAGCCGCAACCGAATCACATGTTCAGATACTAGAATCCCAAGTAAACCAAGTATGTTTTCTGTTCTGTCGGCTTTGGCTCAGCTAATGTGGTCAGTTACGACGAGAGAGAGTCGAGTCCTCCGATCTGTCCTCTAAGGCTCGGGAACTCGAGATTGCTCTGGAAGATACCCGCAGAAAACTGGCGGAGGAACGCCAGATCAAGGACAACTTTGAAGACCTCTTGACGGCGATGAGAGTGGAGCTGGAGCAGCTGCGGAACGAGCGCGACCATCTTCGGGATAATGTGATCCCTCAATTACAGCAGCAGCAGCAGCAGCAACAACAACAGCAGCAGCCACCACAAAGCACACCCACCCCCGAGTCCTCGGAGATTCAGCGATTACTCGGCGAGATTGAGGCCCTGAAAATCGAGAATGCCTCGCTGGCTCAACTGCAGGGCAGTCGGTTTGCGTCGATCGCCGAAGAAGGCGGTATGGCCCCACGGAGACCCGCGGGACTGGGTCTGTCGCGGTCAAATTCGTTGGCACGGCACTCGAAATCGAGCGGTGCAGGTGGGCTGTCGCGGTCAAACTCGTTGTCTCGGTCAAATTCCGTGTCGACCAAGGATCGCCCTGACCGCGAAGCGTTGGCGGACCGTATGGAAGATGTGGAAGCGCAGCGGGATGCGCTGCACCAAGCCCTGCGGTATCTGCTTATGAGACAAGAACAGCAGGCTCGAGAGTACGAAAAGCGCTTAAAGATCATGGAGTTGGAGCTGGCTCGTGCCCAAGAACTGGGCTCTCCACGTAGATTGGGGTACGAGCGCGAGGTGCGGAGTCTCCGGGAGGAGGTGAACCATCTCCGCCAGCGGGCAGAGGACGCGATGGAACAGAAGTGGCAATGCGAAAAGGGCCTGGCAGGTTTGAAGATGGATTTGGACCGTGCCGAGCAGGAGACCACTTCGTTGCGTGTTCTGCTGCAGGAGCATGATATCGCGGTCCCGGATGGGCTTGAATCCGAACGCGACGGCTTCGCCGAGGTCATTGCGACCTCTTCATCTCTGGAGATGGCATACAAACAGTTGCAGGCGGAACGGGAAGTCATCGAAGCCAGTGCGGCTCACTCTCCGCTGGTGGAGAGTGAGGCGTTCGCGGCGTCCATCAGTCGCACAGAAGCACTGGCCAACCATGTGCAGCAACAGCTACAGCGGAACAACTCTCTGCGCAACCGCCTGGCCGAGGCGATTGGCAAGGGCGAAAAGGATCAGCAGCTGTCGGCGGCCCGGATCAACGAGCTGCAGGCCAGACTCAAGGAGCTGGAGGAGACGTTGCTGATGGCGCAGCAGCACTCCGAGGAGGAAATGGCGCGGCACGAGGAGGAGATCCGCAACCTTGAGGCCAGCCACAACGCGCAGCTGATGCGCGTGAAGAACGGATCCCGCAGCCCCGCGGCACTGTCACCAAAGCCGCCCAGCTCACCGTTTGGTGCGCGCTCGCCCCGTCTGAACAAGACAACCAGCGGCGATGGCATTCCCCTGAACGAGGCAATCCAGGCGCAGACACTCGAGAAGCGTGTGAAGGAGCTGGAGAAGCTCCTGCGGGATGCAGATACGGAGATGGAGGAGGTGGTCAGTCGGATGAACCGGGCCCAAATCGAGGTGGCCGAACTGCAATCTGACCGGTATGTGCCATTGGCAATTGGTGCGAATACGGTATAGCTAACTGTTTGCAGCGACGAAGCACTCCGCCAGACTCGGAAACTCCAGGCAGAGATCCAAGCCGAGCGAGACGCGTTCAAGGCCTTGATGGCCCAATAATTTAATCTTTAATGTATATACCATGGTGTTCTTCTGCTATATTCCTAGACGATGTCAGCGTGATCAAGACACGAGGATGATGTTTCTTCATGTATATAACTAGAGGAATACGCTATTAATGAGCGTTGATTACCTGTAGCGTGGAGATAACACCGCAACTGCCCATTGTGGTATTACTCTCCAATGTTTGCTTTGTTTGTTTCACATGCTTTATCTATCAGCATCCACGCGATTTGTCCTTTCTCTGGAGGACAACAAGACAACTAGTATCATCATCTGCATTTCGTCTATCAGCGTCACTGACATACTTACCTCTACTTCTGCCTAACCTCATTCAAACCTCCGGACAAACCGGTGGTCACCAAAAAATGGAATACTACCTCCCAGGTCCGCCAGCCCATCCAACACATCCAATCTATACACTAGCAGAAGTTCAACTAACAAAAGCAAATTACAACGAGCAGACTATCTAACCCCTCTCCTCACAAACCCGACATTACAGCACCTCCGCAGCCACGCCACAAACTGGTCCTCGTCGTTGTCGTTCAGCACCATCCGCACCACCTACTTAGAGCCCTACCTCATAACCCCGCTCTCACGGCTCCTCGCGTCCTCGACCCCCGATTTAGTCTCTGTGCTACTTCTTCTTCTCGTGCTGGTGGTCTCGCTCAAGGTGCTCGATTATATGCGCCGGGTGGTCATGTTCTGGGTGATGCTTGCGGTGAGGGTTGTGTTTTACGGGTCGGTCGTTGCGCTGGGGTGCTATGTTTATAGTGTTGGGGTGGAGAAGGCGGGGAGGGATCTGGGGTGGCTGCTGGGTGTGCTTTGGGGGTTTGGGGAGGAGATTCTTGCGGGCGTTGAGAATGGGAGGTCTCCCTCTGGCGGGGCCGGGGCTGGTGGGTATAGATATGGGTATGGATATAGGCGTGACGTTCCCGGGTATGGAGGACGGGGGAAGAAGGGGAGGTGATTCATAGTTTCTTGGTGGTCGTTGGCATTGTTATTCTGGGTTGGAGTGATACGGTACGGTACGGCTAGGCTACGCTGGCCTTAAGCTACAGTTACGACGTTATGCATAACGCTCATTTCATGTCGTTCATGTCATGTCATTTCATTTTTGGGTGTAGGTATTATGTGTGCGCTGGCGCGACGCGGCATGTACAGTCTCTGGTCTGGTTCCTGAGCTGTGCTCTGTTCTCGCGGCTTTGGCGAGCAAGAAGCCGGCGGGCTTGCCTGATGCGATGCCTGATGCGATTCGACGGTGATACGCACATGGCCTGACGAAGGGCAGACGTCTATACGTCGGTGGTTTTTCTGTGTTGTATGGTAAAGGTCGTAAGGTTATGTCTTGAGCGGACGAGGGGAAGATCAAATATCGGCATCCTCGTAGTTCACATCCTGCTCGTCGTTTGGCTCCCGCGGCTCCTGCGCCTCATGGTACTGGATTGCGTCGTCAATATGGCTCAGCACCGCGGCCACACTGTCCTCATCCTGAGCGTCCAGCTTCAGAAAAGACACCATGCTGAAATCGTCGATCAACTGTCCCACGGCGCGGTTCAACCGTTTGAACGATCCCCCGCTCAGCAGAGTATCCTTGGAACTGGGGTCTCCCTCGGCTGGCTCTTCTGCATCCCCGACCTCGTCTTGTAATAAATTCACATCGACATTGACGAATCGCTTAAGCTCCTTCCGCGACACCATATCCCGCACCTGATCCATTTTGCTCAGAATATTCACATGCGGCATCTCCAGCATCAACATCGCAGACATGGCGCTCAGCGTGCCCGCGAAGAACTTGGCCTTGTCTATGACAAACGTACTCTCCAGTAGATACGCCGCACACAGATTGATATTCAGCGGACCCTGTCGCGAAAGATACTGCACCAGTGATGGCAGCAGTGGGATATGCGTATAGAGCTCGATCTGCCCCGGCATGTCAAAGATGATCAGGTACTCTTCGCTCAGCGGGTCCAGCGCCTGCGACAAAAAGTCCAGGTTCTGCAGGAGGAATTCAAAGCAGTAGATAAGCCCGCCATTGGGACCCAGCTCCATCTCCTCCATCACATCTTCCAATGTGATCAGCTCGCGGATGTCCAGATCGGGCTCGTAGTTGAAGCTTTCGGCGGCGGGGTCGAGATTCACATAGAAGCAACTCCGACGCGTGGTCTGCAGGTGCTGGATGAGGGCACTGCAAAAGGTCGACTTGCCGGCGCCTGCCGGGCCCATGACCAGGACTCCGAATTTGGACATTTTGTGTCGGTTGTGTATATAAAAGGTTATACGCGGTGGAAAATGGATGCGCTCGGCGGGTTATTCGGTTAGTACGTCGACTTGCGGGACATCTGCAACCTGCAATAGACCTATGCACGCTAACAGCGCACTAACTAGAGAGTATTATTGGACAGTGGGCTAAAGTCTCCTGTCAGACTGTCAGCACTGTCAAGGTACCCCAAGTAAGACTGATGCTCAGCCACCAGCATCAGCACCGATTGGATGCATTCGGACTCCGGATGAAAAGTGGGAGAGCGTCCCTCCTTTTCTGCCTCTTCCCACCGCCGGAGCAAGATGGCGCCATCGGCGCCTCATTAATACGGCCAAAATCCCCTCCTCCTTTTTCCCTCTCCCCCTCCATCCATTTTTCATATCCATCCACTTTCCCCCCTCCCATCTTCCTCTGTACTTATCTCTCCAGTCTATCTACCTTTCTCATATCCTCATCTTTCCTCTTCTTTTTTCTTCCTTCTCTCTCTTTCCCTCTTTTAATTCATAATCTCAATTCACAATGGGCAGCGTCGCGAAGTCTAACACTTTCCTCTTCACCTCCGAGTCGGTCGGTGAGGGTCACCCCGATAAGATTGCGTGAGTCCTGCCCCTCTCTTACGATATATGTGTCCTATACGAGTCTCAGATTCTCATTGCTTTCAATTCATTCAATCCATCTGACAATTGAACAGTGATCAGGTCTCTGATGCTGTCCTCGATGCCTGCCTTGCTGAGGACCCTCTCTCCAAGGTACATTCCCCCCTTTTCAAAAAATTTTCTCCGGTTTGATTGGACCGGGCCCATTTCCGCCAACTTTTGCCGTGCGAATCGTTCAATGGATGTTGACTTGCCCCCGCATAGGTCGCTTGTGAGACTGCTACCAAGACTGGTATGTTAATTATTTTCATCTCTCTCAGTTGACGTCTTGTGCTAATTCAGCTCAGGTATGATTATGGTCTTTGGTGAAATCACTACCAATGCCAAGCTGGACTACCAGAAGATCATCCGTGGTGCCATCAAGGACATTGGCTATGATGACTCCGAGAAGGGTTTCGACTACAAGACCTGCAACGTCCTTGTCGCCATTGAGCAGCAGTCCCCCGACATTGCTCAGGGTCTCCACTACGATGAGGCTCTTGAGAAGCTCGGTGCTGGTGACCAGGGTATCATGTTCGGTTATGCCACCGACGAGACCCCTGAGCTCTTGCCTCTCACCCTCCTGCTCTCTCACAAGCTCAATGCTGCTATGACGCGGGCTCGTAACGACGGTTCCATCCCCTGGCTCCGTCCCGACACCAAGACCCAGGTCACCGTTGAGTACGCTCACGACGGCGGTGCCGTCAAGCCCCTGCGTGTGGACACTGTCGTCGTCTCTGCTCAACACAGCGATGATGTTTCCACTGAGGAGCTCCGTGCTGTCATCAAGGAGAAGATCGTCAAGAAGGTCATCCCCGCCGAGCTCCTGGACGACCGCACCATTTACCACATCCAGCCCTCTGGCCGCTTCGTCATCGGTGGTCCTCAGGGTGATGCCGGTCTCACTGGCCGTAAGATCATTGTCGACACCTACGGTGGCTGGGGTGCCCACGGTGGTGGTGCTTTCTCCGGCAAGGACTACTCCAAGGTCGACCGTTCCGCTGCCTATGTCGGTCGTTGGATCGCCAAGTCCCTTGTTAACGCCGGCCTTGCCCGCCGTGTCCTTGTCCAGCTCTCCTACGCCATTGGTGTCGCTGAGCCCCTCTCCATCTTCGTCGAGACCTACGGTACCTCTGAGAAGTCCTCGGATGAGCTCGTCGAGATCATCCGCAAGAACTTCGATCTCCGCCCCGGTGTCATTGTCAAGGAGCTCGACCTTGCCAAGCCCATCTACTTCCAGACTGCCAAGAACGGTCACTTCACCAACCAGAGCTTCCCCTGGGAGAAGCCCAAGACTCTCAAGTTCTAAATGCGTCCTGAGTGACCGCGTAGAACTTGTTGTCTTTTGTTTTTTGACGAATGTGATGAATTTGCTTTGTTTTCAACAACTCAAAGCATGAGAGCATAGACATATTTCGAAAAAGCCTTTTCTTTTCTTCGGACCTTTTTCTTTATTGATATATCTGCATGGTCTCCTGCAAAAGGGAGGCTGGTTTGGGCGAGGATAAATTCAACATGATACCACTTTCATCTATTGGGCAGGGATGTTTTCGGCGTTTCAGGGAGCGGAAGTCTTCAACACATGCCTCCTCCGAGGCCATCTACTAGACTACGAGCGCTATCTGGCTAGATCAGCCTGTGGCACATGGATCTATGTGCTCCGGATGATGTCTCCTCGAAGGAGAGATGTCGATGGCCAGTTGAAAGGAGCTTGGTCTTCTTCAACCGTAGTTTCGAGCTAATCTAAACATTAGCTATATAGAATAATCCACGATACATTTACCATATCTTCATTGTGATTGAAATCTTAAAACGTTGACGTATAGAGAGGTAGAAGATCTGTCATTTTACCCAAAGGGGAAATCGGGACACGTGAAGCCATTGCACTTCGCGATGTCGATAATTCGCTATTTAAACTAGCAAGACAAGACAAGACAGCATAAGACAATCAATGATTTTTCTCGCTTCATTATCCTGTCCTCGACATGCTCGCAATCAAGCAGACTCGACATTCTGGTTGTTGTCGCTGCAACGAGACGCGTGACGGACGCCAAGCTTGTCTTCGCGAATCGCGACAATTGTGAAGGACCTTCCCCACCAGGCGAATGTAGACCCATTTCTATCATTCTTCGCCAGACAGCAAAAGGCAATTGTTCCGACCGTACTCAGTACTGTTGAATTCATCGACTGCTCATATCTACTCTTACAAGGCCATCCTCCTCTAATGACAAGAACATAATGCATGATTCCCCATAGACGCGTCCATGGCCTCGCGTCGCTCCTCCGGCGCGCTCGAAACTCTCAGCTCTTTCTCGCTGAACAGACTCCATGATCTCTCTACGACTCTTCCTCCCTTGAAGAAGCGAAAGACATATCACGCAGCTACAGGGGAACTCTCCCGCAAGGCCATCAGTATCAGGGTGAGTCTCACCATTTCAACAGCAGCTACAACGTTGTTAACTTGCCCCGATGTAGGCCCACGCCGCAGCTTTATCAGACGAACCCTACGTCCTTGAACCCATCGCTGTCGTCCCGCGATCCCGTCTACCGTTCTCATGGCTCGATTCGCCAGCCGCATTGTCGCAGATTCAGAGCGGAAGTTTGTTCGTAGCCAACATTCCTCTTTTGGAGGAGAGTTTGCAGATTCGGACTGAACCGTGCGTTCTGGCTGTGCGATTGGTTCCTGATGGGGAATTGTACGCTGTTGAGCGGGTGAAGAGGGGCATCTATGCTCTGTCGAAGCTGGCTCGCGGTGTGGAGGAGGGAGATATCTTTGTTGCGGTCAAGGGATGGAACCCTTCTACCGGGTGCGGCGAGGAGATTCAGCCCGACCTCCCGTTGGAAGCAGAAAGTGGAGAGGACTGGTGGCAGCGGGCCATAATTGAGGATCCAACATCCGTTACTCCACCGTCTGCCAAGCGCGCAAAGTTTGATGTCTCGCTTGTCTTTAATAAGGCAGCAGTTGATGCTCGCGGTGACGTGACATTGAAAGAGATATCGCCTGTGGATTTGCTCGAGCAAAGGCCCTCGCTGGCTCCTCCTGCGCTGCCAATGGAGCGGAGTTCGAGCTCAGACATGCAGATCCCGTTTGTGCTGCACGATTCTCGGGATGTTGATGGTGCTGTGTTCGGGGAAGTTGCTGCTAATGCGGACACTCGGCCTGCTGATCCCTCACAATCTCCGCAAGAGCTGCTGGATGCTATGAGAGAGCACTACCTGCAAGCTCTCTACATCTCCAAGGTTGGTGTCTCTGTTGTCTTTGTGGTCTATATGCTAATTTTCCCAGACTTCTGTAGCTTATTTCGCCAAAGGACCTCTGGCACGATGCCGCGCCGCCTTCCAGGCGTCCGGGTCGGATTCTACAAATACAACTAAACATCTTGCAGACTTCTACCGAGAGGCTATTCTGACGGCAAAGAAGATGGATTTGAAATATCGTGAAACTCTGCCTTCGACCATCCGAGATGTTCTTTTGAGTACGTCTGATGGTGACGCGCGAAAGAAACGCAAGAGTAGGAAACGAAAGTTGGGCAAGAACGGACTCTACCCAGAAGAGGAGGGGTTCGTTAGCAAGTGGTGGAGAGACCGGGCTCTGGCGGACAATGGGGTTCCTGCAGAGTCGTCGCGCGACGCAGAGCTCAAGAAGCACATCGCGGACTTGCGACTACGAGAGACACAGTTGCAAATTCTGCTTATTTTGGAGACGTTGGCCCTCGAGATGAATGGGCCTGGTGAGGTATCAAAGACGGACGATTCGTCTGAAAAGCCGTCGGACGATACCAGGACCAAATCGAAGAAAAAGCCACAGGATTTGGATGTGCTGCTTGAACTGCACCTTGACCGGCTGTGCATTTGGCATGCCGTCAGTACCGATGACACAGCCTTGGCGGAGTCCGCGAAATCCTTTGACAGTCAAACGGGTAAGAAGATCGAGAGCGATGCCGTCCGGGATTTTTGCACCGAGGTCATTGTTCCATTCTACGCTTCGCGCCTGCCGGACAGATGCAAGTTAATCACCCGCAAGCTCGGTGTCTCTGGCGCGATATCGCCTTTGGCCAAACAATCCGGCAGCACAAAGAAGACGTCTCGCACAGAGCCTGGGAAGCCTACTGAGCGGCAGTCTTCTCAGAGACATCCGCGTCGATCCTTGCAGCGGGTGCTCACCGACCAGCAAACGGCCTCTCAAGGCCGACCCCCGCCTCTGGGACGTTCAAACACTGTGCCGTCGCAATCAGAGGCGAAGCGCGAGTCGATGGAGCCACTGCTGCCGGTGCTCAGCGTCAGTGCGAGAGGAGGCATCCAGAAGCCGAAACGGGCGGAAAATCGCGAAGTGGATCTGAACGCGGTGGCTCGTCAGCACGAAGCCAAACTGAAGAAGGTGCAAATGCTGATGGAGCAGAAGAAGGAGCTCGACGCGGCGATCAATGCGCTCCGCAAGCCAAATCGCGAACTGGTCGCAAAGGATATCGCAGAGGATGCAGTCAAGCGGGCATCGGGCGGCAGCTCAAGAAAACCCAAGAACCCCGTCCGCAACCCGTTCGGGCAAGGCGTGCAGGTCATGGCGACCCCGAAGGGAAACCGCAAGAAGGACGCCGTTACGAGCTTGCCTCCGCCATTCAAGAATATCGTGCGGTCGTCGGCTAGGAAGAACGGGTCCTCGCCATTTGCGAGTGAGCCACAGGTGGTTCCAGCATCTACACTCCGGCCCAGCTTCATCTCCAATACTTTGGCGTCTGAGTCTATGGCTGCTCCTGGTTTGACTTTGGGGGATATGGGTGCCATCCAGGAAACGCCATCTCGACGGCCGGCGCAGTCTTTGGAATTGATGGACACCGCGACAGACGACGCATCCCCGGGCGTAGCAAAGAACTTATTCCGGGTCCCCCGACGCCCGATCCCTAAATCCACCGACGTCGCGCCATCCACGCCGATTGCACCGCGATCGGCGGATCAGGTCATCGGCGTCAAATCATCTACTGTGATGGAGACACCGCCGAGGCCAACCCCTGTCGTCCAAGGAAACATCCCTGGCGCCTCCCCCGCAGCCGTGCTGACCACACCAGTGAAGAGTAGCGCCAGACTGGCTGTGCCGGTCGTTTCGACGGTGCCTGTGACACCGGAGAAATCTATTTACGAGCAATTGGGATGGGATGATGATCTTGTTTGATTTGTTTCGGTGATTTGTTTGCGGCGGCGTTCTTCTCGTTCTTCGGTGCATTCGGGGTTTTCCTCATTCGTCGGCGCATGTTAGGCTGCATGGTAAGGAGTTATATATGTAGTCACTTGCATTTTTATTCAAGTACAGTAGAAGTACAGTGAAAGAATGCCAAATCATGCATGTACATCGTGGTTCAAGTTGCAATCACTGTATGATCTACAAGTACACTTTTACCCCCAGCCTTGAAATTATCATTCAATTAAAGGACTTAAAAGGACCTCAATGACTTCCGGACATGCACTACGATAGATAGGTTCTAACGACTCGACAAAGAGTGAGGCAACGATTAACGGAGAAATCCTACCTCCTCCGTCTCCAGGTCTAAGTTCTCAGGATTCATGACCCCACATGGGACGAAACAGTCCACAATCCGGATTGTGGAGGCCGGAGACGGAGACGGAGACGGAGACTTTGGAGAACGATGGCGATGGCGATGTTGATCTGTGGAGTAGCGGACTTTTTGTTCGGAACTTGCTGGGCGACGACTGAGATCATGAGTTTAATATTATTGGTTTTGAGACGCAGGAGCTGACGACTAGGTTCTTGGCTGGATGGACTTCGGGTATTCGGATAAGTACCTACGAACTACGGAGTACGGAGTATGACTCGTTGGGTTGGGTGATCTTCGGCTTGACAGAGTGGAAAGTACGGAGTAGAGAAAGAGAGTCTGTTGGTTCATGATTTTTGTAATATTATATATACTTTAAGACAGATGGCCAGTGATGCATGGCTAATGGATACAGAAATAGAAACCAGTCCAACTCCTCCAGATCCTCGTCAAGAGGTATGCTGCGCCTAATTGCTTGCCTGCTTCCCCGTTTTTGAACTGAAAGTGTGTCGTAACGTCGTAACTTCGTCATTATAGTGTTGTGGTGTATTAAGATGGGAGAGTGACAGAAACTTTTGTTTCCTGTTCGTCGGTGCGAAAGAGTAGAGTGTAGAAGAGTGAGAATGAGGAGAACCCGGTTACCCGGCGATGCGCACAGGTAGACAGGGCCCACGGGCGGGCCAGAAATGTTTCATCTGGACTGTCTTTTCCAGACAACTGCGGCCTTTTTCCAGGAGGCTCTCTTTTTCTTGTTCTGTTGTTGATGTTGGTGTGGACGGAGTAGGAGTAGAGGCAGGGACGCTTGATACGACTTCAAAGCTCACATGGAGCGTCGTCTCCTCTTTAGCGGCGGGTTCAGTGATGGTAGCACTGCTGGCCTTCTCGACAAGACGCTCCACCACCTCTGGAACCTCATCGTCATGTATCTCCTCCTCGTCCTCCGAGTCGGAATCGAGATCAAACGAATTGATGCGAGAGGTCATATCCCGCTGGGCCCACTCCATGGACGTGCAGTGGAGGCGAAAGTGGCCGAGGCATCGTCTGATATCCGGGTCGGGCGCGGTGGCCTCGCGGGCGAGTTTTTGCTTGGAGAGGGTGGTGAGCCTGTAGGGGAGGGAGGTCTTGTCGGCCAGAGGAGGCCAGCGCTTGTTCATGGAGGGAGTGGTTGATAGTGTAACAGCCATTTGTATTATTGAGTGAATGGTTGATTGGAATGGTTGAAGAGTAGATGTTCAGGTCAAATATGATATAGAAGGGAATCGTATGATGATTCCTTGACTTCCCGGCCGGGATGATGTCGAGCGTATGGCGATACGCGTCAGAGTACCAGATCAGGTGATGTCATGGGAGGAGTGGCGATGTCGATTGTCCTAATTGGGAAGATGATGAATCACGATCGTGACACACTTGAGAGCTTCTGAGGAGGATGGAGGTGATCTGGAGAGAGACACCGGGGGGAAGAGAGAGAGAGAGAGAGAGAGAGAACAAAGAGAGTCGAGGGGCAGCCGAGGGGGGACGAGTGCCGGAGGGACAAAGATTTATACACTCGCCCGGGAGACCCAAAACAGTCAAGCCGGGGGGGCCACTATCTAAGCAGGGTGGACTAACAAAGGGACTAAGGCAGGCAAAATTCTGCGTGCGGTTGATCCTAGAGTCTAGACCACTGATCACCAAGAGTAACAGTCTCCTCTTGATAATCTAGTGATCATATTAGAATACAATAGTCATTGAAATTAATATAATATGCTAATATTTTGGGACAGTGGTCCACAGTTGCTATTTTTCATGTTGTTCAACTAGTTCTAGTGAGTCAAATCAGAAATTGCGTGACCAGCTCTCAGCGGTTACCCGGGAAGCTTTTCTTCTCGAACACCGGAGACCGAGAGGAGACCCCTCTTGGCCTCTTCTCCTTCTCTTCTCTAGGCGCTCTCTTCTCCACCGCAAAATCAAGTTTGGCAGCTGACCAGCCAGTGGGTCTGCAAGGGCTCGGCCGTCCATGAAACCTTTAGTCTATCGCCCAGCAACCAGTCAGATATCAAGGATTCAGCAGGTCTGGGCATCTGGACTCTGGCCCCCTGCACCTGCAAGAAAAGCAAACCTGTTCTGCAGCTGGGATTGGCGTGGTGAAATGCGGAGTACTGCTCTTCATTACTCGTAATATCAAATGTCTTGTACAGGATAATTTGTTTGGATGTATTTACCAACTTTGAATGATTGTGAAACGAATTATTTGGCGGATTGTTCTATTTGTGTCTGTTTAGAAATCGACTGTGGACTGTGTGGGTTTTTCCAGCGGACCCCTAAAGTAAGGTACGTACACCAGTGGGGTAGCGAGAACCACATCATATGATGATCATTGGCTGTATTTTGTGGGGTTATTCTCTTCCATTCGCGCATAGACCGAAGTGCCTACATAGCATCGTCTAAGCAACATAATTTCTGCATAAGGCAAGTATCTTATCACAGTTACTCTAGGTTATTTTCTTCGAAAAAAAAGAAATGAGTCCCCAAATTCTGTCAAGAAGTGCATGTCAAATTTTGGCACTCCTTGAGGGTTGTCGAGTCCAAAGCCCTAAGACCGCGTAGTCAAGGTTTTCGCGGAAAGATCGTTAGTCATTAGTCATTGACTCGAGCATGAGTCCCGGTGAACTCTGGAGACTTGAGGTACGTACTCCAGACTCCAACTGTTATCTACCTTAGTAATTCGCATTCAGGTCGATCGATCGAATCATATGGTCATACATTATAGCAAGAGCATCCGGCAGATAATGGATGGTTCCTCACCTAAAAGCCCTTGCCACATCTGTCATGAATCATCATAACATGAAATCCATCTATGGTTCCCAATCAAAACTCTGGTTACTTGCTTTCGGACCGACTCAACCAGAAGCTAGCTATCGAGATAAGATAGAGAAGCTATCAGTATGGAGATGGATACACGAAATAGAGTTTGGGCCGCATCTTGGCTGTGAGTTTATTTTCGAAGACAAGCCTGAGCGCCACTGTCCCAGACACGTTGATATTGTGGATGAACTGTGGTTGGTTCGAGGTAAGGTTGGCCACAAACTGAAATATAGTGGTGATATATTGCATTTGAGGCAGGTTGTTATCGCAGCGTTATTGCTTTCAATTGAATCTGTCCCGAGTCGTCTACGAATGACATTCTTTATCGAGTAGCAGGGTTCGTACAGTCCGTGAAATTCCCATAGTGGGAAGCACATGGGATGTCATTCACGGACAACTTCTAAATTATGTTGGATATCTGCTACACCATCATTTCTACTAGCTAGAAATGGTTGTCTTGACACGGTTTTGGCTCAGTGGTTCGAGTGCTCAAGAAATTATACCAATGGTTAGATTTCCCAGTCTGCCGCCGATGCCAGGCTTCGATGTGGAAGGCAACTTGGCCGCGTACTAGGCGGTATGGTTGTTGCTTGACTCAACAAGCCAATGCGCAAGGCAACAGCTGTGACAGGACTCAAGTAGGTAAGTTAACCCATACTGATTGGTTCATGAATCATACCAATTGCAGTGCGCTGACTTCAATCCTAATGGGTAGTCGTCCACTCTCTTGACTCCCAGCGAGTTCCTCTTCCCTGGCAATAGCATACACCAACGCACTCCTGCAGCCACTGCCGTCAGGTTACTCTGGAATATTTGCCAGCGCCGTGGGTTGTGTGTACTCCAAGCGAACCATCTCCTGCTTGATGCAAGGACTTCATTCTATCAAATGGAAATGACCAGTCATTGCTGGCGTGGCCCGTTGTTCGTGCTTATGGCGATATCTACTTTTTGATACTCCTACGGGGGTGTTTGTTTTACGTTCTTGAATGCGAGGCTAGTCGATCCATCTGCGTCTTTATCGGACAAATTGCTCGGATTTGTCGAGATGAGTCAGTATCGCGTCTTGACGCAGATCCGAAGAACATGCGTCACCAAACGCTCGAAAGCGGCCAGGTTAGATCTACCGCCTAATGACTTGCATGCCTGCCTCGCAATATCCGCGCAATCTCCCGAGCGAGGCCTTTCATCTACGCCACAGAGAATAACACCCACCCGAGCAGGAACCCTCCTAGAGGATCGACACGCTTATTGATATTCCATCATTTTCGCCTCACAGCGAACTGTTCAAGCTCCGTTGCCGACAAGACTATCGAAGGAAGATGAGGACCGTCTAGTCAGAGAAAGAGGCAAACGGCAGGTGGCACAGCTGTCATCAAGGTGAGACAAGTCTGGAATGTGAGTATGCGTGCACGGCCCTGATCGACTCTAGTTCCCGCTCAAGTGACCCTCTACAAGACTACAACAATGTCTAATGCCGCTAATTTCGCAGGTCATCTGCCCCTCTAGGATGCCTGGACCGGGATGGAGTGGGCAGTGCTCTGGATACTTGATTTGTTAGCCCACGAGGCGAGTCAGAACTGAATCAGGGTTGGGAGCCGAGTGGCTGAGAGGATGGAAGAGATCACCAAAGCTTAGGTAGCACTGGGGTTGTGCAAATATACGCTGCATGTCGGTTAGACGCTGCTACATTGAGTTGCACGTCCTCAACTCTATTCTTGGTCTTGTGCCTCTTAATGCTGGTAGATTTTATGCTGTCTATTTTCTCTGGCGACATTAAGTACGCCATTTCTCAAAAACCACCTGGGGCTGATAGCGAAGGAACAGTGGAGGAGATGGAACCGAGATGAATCTGTTCTCAAAGCTGGAGCCAATGCGCAGCATTGTCTTGTGACTGGGCCTGAAATGGAAAGGCGCAAGATCTTGCGCGAGTACAGGATGACGCCATAAAATACTCCATCCATGCTGACGATCGCTTGTCGGCTAGAATACTATCCTATTTTACTTACTCTTCGGGGTATTATCCGAGCTCATTCGGCTACCACTCCACAGAGGTACTGTCTATTGGTCTTTGGCCAGAGAGATCTGGAACTATTGACAATGGTTCCGCCCATCAGATAAGGACAATAGGATTGCCGACATTCTTGAGCTGATTTGTCAACATACTTTGACGACGCCATTTGAATCATAGCACTAGTGACTGAGTACTTCAGGCAGATTTCAAGATGCCCACTCAAGAGGCTATTCTCCACTCCTCCTATCCAGCGTAGGGACTGGACTTGCTCGCTTGTTTCTGAAGAGTATGGAGAGAATAGTACTGTCCGTCGCATAATGTCTCGGCTATTATTAGGCAAATGCGACAAGATCTGAAGATACCAAGATACTACCCTGATATCAGATATCTTGTGACTAGTGAATTATCTTGATCCTGATTCGCTCTTCCGTCCATATCGCTTGATGCTTCGTAATCTTGCTGGCGGCAGACTACTGCATAATACCCTTGACTATGGCTAGACTGCAGAAGCGATCCAAGGATTCCATTGGTAGGATCTTGCAAGAAAGGCCTTGTCTCTCCTACCTGGGTAGTCAATAGTCATGTTTCTGACTCTTTCGTCTCATGGCTCAAATCTGTCCGCGCTATCCGAGAAATTCTAGGCTGGTTACATTTTTCGTTGTTCGCGTGGGCTCTGCAGGAGAGCACGTTGACATGGCCCAATGTCGTCATAATCTCCTCTTTTCCTTTTCAGAGATAGTAGAGAGGTATTTATATCAGATTACTTGGTAAATGGTTCCCGACATCACTGAGATAATTCCATACCTAAGAGGTAATTATTGTTGCAACTTGCATCTTACTGTTTGCAGTGACGACGGATTCACCCGGTTGGACTGTGATCCGAGGGCCAGCCGCCAATCAGGGGCCTAGTGGCGCCGCCTCCCGCCAGGTGCCCCCTCCACCGTTGGTCAACTGGCCCAATTTGTGTCTGAGATACCGCCATGGACAGTAACTTACCCCTCCCCCTTCTCCATACATTGATGCTCCTTACAGTCCATACACCCAAGGCAGAAGCCAGAATTTATCGACTAAAGTAATATCTATACCTAAGGCTTATTATTGTTCCTTCATCACATCGGCTCCTGCTGGGTAAACTTTCATCTCTGTGCTTACTTCCTTCCCCACTCCACCCGCGAAGGTGTGTCGCTCTGTCTGGCTTGTCCTTTTGAGGTACGTATTATTTCCACCAGGATAATCTATCGAACTCGTATCGATCAATCTGTCTGTCTGTCTATCCATCACACGTTTAATCCTCGTCTATCGCATTCGCTGCACATATTCTCGAATAATACACGATACAATACACATACCCCATACTCCCTACCTGCGTTTCTTTTATGCACCCAGGCAGTTTATCGTCACACTGGCTGTTGTTCCGTGTACCCACTGGTTGATTCCTTCGGCTGGTTGGCGCGCGTTCTTCCCCATCAATCAAACTGTTTACTACCGCTAGCTATTTCTTATTGCATCGGGTTTGTTTTCCCTTTTCCAAGTCAAGCCTAACTCGGATATTCTGGACCACCTTATCGTGTTTCCCTGGCGCTTGACTGGGTGCCCGCCGCTTTCTGCAGGCAAGGAACCTTGGGAGGACCCAGTTTCCTGCCTGATCAGCCTCAGCCTCCTGTGGCGGTGTACTCTCCAGCCACACTTCTGATTCCGCATCAGTTCACCGCCTTGTCTTTTCCCCCTTCTTACCTTACCTTACCTCTATCATACTGCTCTTCTCTCTCATTATTCTTTCCAACTGCACCATCTCAAAGGTGCCTACTATCAGTACCATACCTTACCGTACCTGTATCATCTGAATCTGCAACCCTTTCCTGCTGATCCCGCTGTCTCTGCCACACACCACTGACCACTCACTGTGATCACCAACCACCAACCAAAAACTGAACTAACTGCTTCCCCTCTCCAATCCAGTCCATGATTCCATCATCAACTGCATGCGCGTCGTGATCTCCCACATCCCAGTCAAGGATCAACTTGTGTCGTGGCAGTCTCTCCTTCTTTCCTTTCTTCCCATCCCACTGCAGCTGCGCTTGCCAACTCACTTCCGCCCATCCTGTCCCGTCACTGGGGTTCTCGACACCTCTTGCTCGCGTTTCGCTGACGCGCCCACGGCCCTGCTGACGGCCGTCATCAAACTTTGCCTTCCCCCGTCCTTCCTTGGCCCGCCATGTATGGCACATCCCACACCTCCGTCCCCGCCCCGATGAATGGCATCGGAGGCGAGCTTGTCGATGGGTCGGGAACCATCAATCCTGCTGCTCTGAATAATTCCGGTATGCTATCCCTTTTGTATCTGCCAGCCTCCCTACATTCTATCACTTGCATGTCATGATCTTTGAGCGATCCCACTGTCGCTTATCACGGAGGGTCGTGGTTTATTTATACGATACTTCGTCCTTTGCGACAGCCTCCAAACTGACGGCCTTTTGCTAGTCGCCGCTGTTCTTCCCTCACCTTCCTTGGGAGACTCAGCGCCAGCAGCTCCAACGTCAATAGCTACCCCCGCAGGCCTAAATCCCCCTCGTGGCATCAAGCGCAGTCGCACCCCCGATCAACGCGCAAACTCGCGCGCGGATGGTGACCATGATGACGGTATGTGCGCGTCGCATCTTCCACGGCCAAGGTGCCGTGCGAGACTGTCGAGCCGCTTCGTCGCGTTTTCTCTGTTATACATTCACGCATCTCTCTTGGTGTTACTGATGCTAACTATTTTATCGTAAATAGATGAACAGGGTCGGCGAAAACGAGGTCGTCCTCCCAAGACGCAACGGGCCCACGACAGTCAGAGTCAACAATCGCCTGGGAGTGCGAGCGTGCAGACTCCCCGAATGCAGTCGCAGTCGCTTCCACAGCAGACCAGTGTGAATGTATCGCCGCCGCAAGCATCTCCCCCAGAGAAGGCGACACCCACCAAAACCGCTGTAGTGAAGGCGCTGCCCACGGTCAGAGATCACACTACCGACCAGCTCAACGAAGAAGGCGATGAGTATATCCCCAAGGAGTTTGACGAGGCTGGCGAGAAGAAGGTGGACGCCATGGGTTACCCCCAAGGCGGCCGTGAGTTCAAATGTCGGACATTCCGTGTGCCGCTCCGTGGAAATAAGCTGTTCATGCTGGCGACCGAATGCGCACGGGTGCTTGGGTATCGAGACTCGTACCTGCTGTTCAACAAGAACCGATCTCTGCACAAGATCATCGCATCGCAAATCGAAAAAGACGACCTCATCCAGCAGGACGTTCTGCCGTACTCGTATCGGTCGCGCCAGATTGCCATTGTCTCGGCCAAGTCCATCTTTCGTCAGTTCGGCAGCAGGGTCATCGTGAATGGACGGCGTGTGCGCGATGATTACTGGGAAAGCAAAGCGCGAAAGCAGGGTTTCACCGAGGATGACCTGGCTGGTGAAAAACGGCCGGGGGCCGGCAAGGCTCGAGACGCGGCCGCCGCGGAGGCAGCCAATGCTGCGAATTTGTTGCCGACCCTCACCCATGGCGACGTCATCTACAGCAATGCGCTCGAGGCCATGCCTCATGGTTTGCCGGTCGGGGGCCCGTCCTCGTCCTCGCTGGCTTCTCTGCCGATGATTCACATGGCCACCACCACCGACGATCCCCGGCTGAGGGAGTACAACAGTATACCTCGTGCGCGCCAGGAGATCACGGGCCAGCCGTACCAAGACCGGTCGCAGCCCAGCTCGGCTGCTGAAATCCTCAACCATGCCTCGCACACGGCCGACTTCAACAAGATTCTGAGCAACCAGCGCAGTTTCCGTCAGAAGGGCCTGGAGGAGTTTTACTCCAGACAGCGCGAGGTCCCCGAGACCGCGGATCTCTCGCAACCCGGGCAGTTGGACGCCACCGCGTCGGTCGCCCAGCCCTTGCAATCGCCTCAGATGGCGTCGACGGGCTTGATCAGCTCGACGCAGCCGCAGGCGATTCTTCCCAACCAGGCGCCGATGATGGCCGGTCAGGCCGCCTTCCAAGCGCCCACGGGACACCAGCAGGGCCCTATTGCGCAGTCTCCCATCCAGCCCATGCCCGCAGTTCGGCCCAATCTGATGCATCAGCGCTCGAATCCTGCTATGTCCGGGGGCACGCCGCAACCAACCGGACCGTATGGGTACCCGGCGCAACAACAGCAAATGTGGGGTCAGCCACCTCCGCCGCCGCAACAATCCCCCATGTCCGCCGGTGGCCCGCAAGGGGGTGGGATGCCACAGTATGCGGCCCAGATGCATGCTCCACAGCAATCTCCCTCGCCCATGGGCCACGCTGTTCAGGGTCAACATCACCCCTCGCAGTCACCGCGCGCGCAACATCGCCCGTCTGTGGGTCAGATGCAGCAGGCGTACCAGATGCATCATCCGCAGGCGCCGCAGCAACAAGCTATGGCATCCATGGGCTACCCCGGAGGGGCCGCCAGTCCCTATGCTGTCGCAGCCGCCAGAGGCATGTATCCCTCCACACAAGGACCCGGAGGTCAACAGTTTATGGCAGGAAACCCTCAGGCAGGAATGGCGATGGGGATGAACCCCGGGGGTGCCATGCCCGGCTGGCCATCTACTCCCGGTGGGCCGATGCAACCAGGTCACCCACAGCCAGGCCAAGGCGGAACTCCCCTAGGAGGGTGGTCGGGCTATTAGTCAAGAACATAAGCAGAATTTGGGAGAATGCATCCGAGGAACGACAGGCAAGGGGAATATTATTCATGGCCGGGCGTTTTGCGGACTTGGCGTTCATGGACACGAGGCGCCGGCGAAGGTATTGATCATTTCTCCCATCTTTTTTCCCGCCTGGAATCTTATTTAATGATAATCTGCGCATTTCCTTTTTTTATACCCGCCGTTATACCCGATTGCGTTGTGTATCTAGTCTTGCGATTTCTATGCAAATTCTCTGGGTGTTTTCTCGTGGGGTGAAGGTTCATTTGCATGTGGCATGGATCTGTGCTTCGATGTTCTCATAGATGGACTGGTGGTTTGCACTTGGGTCTTCGGTTGCGTTTCTGTCTGCTTCTTTGTTATGCATGAATTTTATGTCATGCCCACTCTACTCTATGCACCTGTGCCTATTGACTTGTCGGTGTCATCTCTCCTTCTGGCATACCGGTCCCTGCGATGATTGTTGTGTCTATAGTCGGGGAACCAATTTGATATACTGCCCCAAGCGTGTTTGTAGGAAGAGTGTGTAGCAATTACATGATTAACATATATTACATCTCATCCTTGTAGTCACTGATCACCACTCCTAATTCGGTTAAAACCCCGTGGCCAAAGGCGTCGTGACGGGCGCCGCAGACGACGCACACACACACGCCGTAACGGACGTAACCGGCGGCTCCGTACAATGCGCCGACGTAGTCCAGGAGACCGTGGTCGGTTCAGGCGCATACTTATTCGAGGACTTCTTCGCCTTGACCAACACAGGAATCACCGCGCCAGTCTTGAGCGAGAACGCCCGATGCCCAAGCACGCGCAGCAGACTCGCAATCTCGCCCGAATGCGCCGTCACACTCACAAACAGATCTTTAGTGTCTGTCCGCTCAAACATCTCATCCAGCGCATCCTTACTCCGCACATCCTGCGCCGCGCTCGTCTCACCCGTAACCCCATTCCACAACTTGTCCTCCTCGCTAAACCCCTCCTCAATCTCCCACCCGGGGAATAACCCCTTAATGTATGATCTACTCCGCCGATGATCACACGTATGCAGACTAATCCCCTCGCGCAGCCCCTCCATCACCAGCGGCCTAAACGCCGCCGCCTTCTTGGGCAAGTTTAGATCCGAGAACGTGATATTCGCCGTCCGCAGCGCGCGGGTAAGCGGACTGACGAAGTATGCGTCGGGCGTGTGCATTCCGTCTCTGGCAATCAGTGAAGCCCAGAAGTCGTGGGCGGTTTGGGCCTGCGCAATTCCCGAGGGGGTGAGGTCTGCGTCGGACCAGGTTACCGTGCCGTTGCCGTCTAGGAGGGACCAGTAGCACTTTTTTTCCTTCGTTAGCTTTTCTGGAAGGAAATGAAGATTTGGGGGGTGGGTTTGGTGAGGGCAGGCATGAGGGGGAGGGTGCCGGGGAGACGTACGTTCCAAGCAGGAGTACCATAAAGACTCTCCGCGGCATTATGCCATCCCTCGCCGTGGCGGCCGAAGAAGAAAACCTTGTATTCTGTTTTATGGGGCGCGTGCTTGTTCAGTTCGTGGACGTGGTTGTAGAAGCGTTGCCATTGCGTCAGTTTGCTGTTCTCGTTGTCCGCATCTGTGTCGTAGGTGCGGTTGATCAGGCCGAAGTTGTTGGCTGTCTGTTCATTCTTCAGTTTGGGTCATTGATAGGGGATAGGGGTAGGGTGGACATACATAGTCAAAGGTTGATGGGTCGGTGCTGGCCTCGTCTTGGAGGAAGTACCCCGTTACCGTGGTGTACTCGTAGTAAGCTGCTTGTGCTGTCGCAGCGAGGCCGAGAGCGACGAGACTAATTGCACACTTCATCTTGTGATTGGCGTTTGCGATTTAGATGCTGATGAGATGCAGACAGAGGCAAAGACGGTCGTCGCCATCTTTATACTCTAGCAATGTCCGACAACAAATATCGTAAGCTGGGTCAATGATAATATCGCAATATTGCGAGTGCGCGGCCTCTATGCCTACTACCTACCACTCCGGCACGTGCGTCGCTAGCTAGTCTAGTGGATAAAGGACGGGGTCTGGAGGCATTCTCGTGTGGATAATACCATTGGTGGTTTAGTTATTGTTTGTGATTCGACGGTCGGAGAAGTCGGAGATTAGTCTAGATATGGAAGGCTACTTATATGAACTATGACTTGATTAGAGCCCACTCACTCCTTGGACGGTTACTGAAGTTGATTGAACGTGAGTAACCTCATCATATTATGTATTAGGGTAAAGATGGTAAGGTAGAAGTCATATCCTCCAAGTATGTATAACCAGTCGCTTCAAACAGATGCAATCCCAACGTATCGACAGAAAAAGCGAGCCCTAAGCTCAGCTCAATGGACAATGAAGTGAAGAGCCCAAGACACCAGCAGTATAATGCAAAAATGCTCCGAGTATAAACAGCACACCCAAGTATGTATAAGCTCCATGTGAATATCAATATATGAAACAGGACGGCCAGGAAAACCGTGCAAGAAAAGTCAGATGGCCCGTCAGTTCTGGAAATTGTGTGGCGTAGAATTGGCGGCGAACGTGTAGGCCTTGGGTTTGTGCGATGGAAGCTGCTGAGCAACGAATCGGTGGATCTCTTGCTGTTCAGGAAACTCTTGAATCTGAAACTCAGTGGGCCTCGCATCCTCGGTCGGCGCTCCTGTCGACATGTGCATGTCGATATCTTTGGTTGAGAACATCCCGATATCTGCAGTTGCACTAGTCGGATCGACAGTCTGCTCGTAACTCACAGATGGCATCTCCATCTGGCAGCGGGCGGCGAACGATTGTCCCGACGGAGGCATTGATGTAGCATCAGCCCAGCTCCGGCCCGTCAGAGGGGCCCCGTCGCAAGAGGAATACTCCGGGAAGGTTGTGTAGTGAGCAGGGGCGGACATTGGCGGAGCGACTCCATGGTAGGAATACGACGACATCATGTCTACTGCCAGCGGAGTAGCTGGAGGAGACGCGATGTTGATCTGCATGGGCTGAGTCGTGGGGAACAGGTGGCTGGTCGGTTGCGCCGACAGGCAGTACCCCCCGTCAGAGGGAGTGGCTGGAAGCAAGTGGTGAAGATCCTCCGGAGTCAGCGGCGTTGGTGGAGCCAACCCACCGGTTGTGGCAGTAGGTTGCAGCATGCTTGACATCTCGGCCTTGCTATTCAGAGTGCCCGCGTCGGCAAAGGTTGTCAGGTTGAAAGGCGACCGCTGAGCGGCCGACGCCTTTCTGACACCAGCGTACCGTGAGCCGAGACTCTGTGCGGATTTGGACTGTCTCACCGCGTGACCAGTGCCGTTCGGCAGGCGCATGGTCGGTGACATGGCACACGACCCGGCCAGCATCGAGCTAGACCGCGATGTGCCAATGGCCGCCGGCCTCGGTCGCTTTCTCCGCGCAGCAAGGTCGAGCTCCTTTCCAGCGTCTTTCCATGAAGACCGGCCAGTCAGCTGCGACAAACCATGAGGCGAGCCACTAGTGTCGATTCCAATGCCCTGCAAGGTGCTGGCAAGGTCTTCGGACGAGCCTGGCCTTGACAGCTCCGGCTTGACAGTGTAATGGATGGTTCCGTATGACGAGGAACCAACATCCATGGGTGCACGGTGGCTGGGCAGCGATTCAGCCGAGGTCGCCAATTGGCTCGCCCACTCTTCACCTTGACTGACATGCTGCAGCGAACTTTCCGTCTGGGGAAATGAAGGTGTGGCCAAGCCAGTATATCCGAAAGGCTCCTGGGCGTCCTGAGAGGTCCAGGAAGCTGAAGAATCTTTGCCACTCTCCCATGCTGAGAAAGGGGTGTTGAGAGCACTGTGGGCGCTTTCCGAGTCATCATGGTCATTGACCCGAGCGCTCAGGGGGAACGTCGTCGGGGAGACAGATCCTCCAACACTGTTGTCGTCATTTCGATCCTGCTCGCACTCGCTGCCGTAGTGCTCACGAGCCGCCACGGCGGCGTTGAGAGCTCTCTGCAACGAGGCGAAAGTGGCCTCTCGAGCCGACTCACTCCTTGTTTTCTGATGCTTCGATCGAGATGAAGTAGAGGGTTTCTTTTGTTCGCCTGACGCAGCCGACTCCGATTTTCTGGTGTCGTTGGCCTTATTGGTCTCCTCCTTGGTCGTCTTATCGCTTTGGTTTGAGTCAGATGCCTCGTCCGCACTGTCGCTCTTGTTCCGAACGGCTTCCTCGGCCTCTGCTTTAGCCTTTTGCATTCTCTCAAACTCCTCTTGTCTCTTTTGCTGCTTTGCCTTTGCTCGTCGGTTTTGGAACCAATTCTGTTTGGTCAGCGCATGTCACATATTGCATTCTCTTGAGATAAACTAACGGCAACTCGAGGCAAGCTCAGATTTGTCTGCGCGGCCAATTGGCGCTTCACATTGCTGCTGGGCTTGGGGTGAGCCTGAAATTGGGCCTCCAGCGTCTCCACTTGTTCTTTGGTCAACCTCGGACGGGACAGATTCTCCGCGTACTCTTCGTAGTCCATGATCGGTTGATGGTAGTAGTCAACCATCTCATATGGCGGGTGAGGGTATAGGTAGCCATCCATGGGGTGCACCATGGCATGGTGTGCCATGGCAGGGTCGTAGGCTATGGATTGATCGAATGAAACTGCACTATGACCGCCGAAGGCATATGGGTGGTGTAGGTAGTTCATGGCGGAGGAATTGGTGAAAGTTAGGATGCTCGAATAGGGGAGGTGTCAATGGTCCGATAGGGTCGACGGTAGAGAAGTGATGGCTGCAAGACTGGAGCAAATCTTCAATTCATCGAAGAGGGAACAAGTGTCAAGGATTGCTGCATGTACAGGACTGATGCAACCTGGAGAGTGTCGTGGACGAAGAGAGTGACTGATAGCTGGTGATGGGTGTGGTACTTGTACTAGTATATGTATGGACAGTAGAACTCGACGGATGCAAGAGGGAAGATAAATGAATGACAGTATGTATAGTTGGCACCCGGAAGGCAGGTGATATAGTAGACAATCCACAGA